ATGGAGGCAAAACAAAAAAGTGTGTCCTCTGACCTGGCAGTGAGACCTCTGGGAACTGTTCCTGAGGACTTCGCCCAGGAGGGGATTTCAAAATGGAGGGACAAAGATGCTCAAAGTGCTCTTAAAACTAAAGAAAGGTGACAATAGGAGTGTCCAAAAAGGTGGAATTGTTCCCATAACTATGGCACAATTCTCTGTGTCCACAAAAAAACTATTTTCTATAAAACCTCTAGAAATCCCCTAAAATGATGTGTGCAAATAGGAAAGCTCTGCAAGTGATGTCCCTCTGTGGTCACCTCCAAGGAGGGGGAGAGGCTGCAGAGTGCAGGGTGAGGGCGGAAGGGGATTCCGATGTGCGTCGTACCTAGAATGACCCAGTCATTATAACAAATACTGACTGTTCATTGTTACCATGCTTCTTAAATAAAGGTTTTCTAGAAAGAGAGGATGTCCTTGAAAACTCAAACAAATGGGGAAATCGGCGTTCTCCAGGCCAGGGACCCACCACGGCCACATCTTTCCAGAGGGAGCGCAGAAATAGGCTGGGGGCACATGACCTCAGGCAGGGATGTTAGAGGTCACTCTAGCTCCTTTTGTTTTTTAATTTCTGAGTAAAAAGATAAGGCATGCCAATGTAATGTTCGGTGAGAGAGAAAGGGATGATGCGGGCTTAAGTGTGTGCCAAACCCTATATATGCCCAGGGCTTCAAAGTACTTTAAAGCAGGGTCCTCACCCAGGGTGGTTCTGCCTCCAGGGGACACCTGGCTATGTCTGGGGACATCTGTGGTGGTCACAATTGGGAGTACTTCTGGTGGGAGGCAGGGAGGCTGCTCAACACCCTGTAGTGCCCAGGATGCCCCCACAGAGAATCATCAGCACTAACAAGGGGAGAGACCAGTTGTCAGGATGAAAGAATTAGAGCTATTAGATCAGTGATGGCGAACCTACGACATGCGTGTCAGAGGTGACACGCAAACTCATTTTTTTGGTTGATTTTTCTTTGTTAAATGGCATTTAAATATATAAAATATCAAAAATATAAGTGTTTGTTCTACTATAGTTGCAAACATCAAAAAGTTTCTATATGTGACACGGCACCAGAGTTAAGTTAGGGTTTTTCAAAATGCTGGCACGCCGAGCTCAAAAGGTTCGCCATCACTGTACTAGATGGTTCCATTTCACAGATGAGGAAACAGAGTCTTAGTACCCAGTTACTCCTTGCGGGGCAGAGCTAGGCTAAGAGCTGGGGTCGGGGGACAGGGTGGGAGAACACCTCCAGCAAGACTGACCGCAAGCAAGCACAGCCACTAAGAGTAGGTGACTGTCCTTTAACCTCTGGGTGCCCCACTTTCTGGCCCTCTTGCCTCACACATAAAGATGAGAATTTAAAATCTGATTGAATTGGGACTGTGCTCATGGTTTTACAACTTCTTTCCCAGCAATTTGTAGTGACGGCTTTACAAGTCGGTGACAGGGCTTTCCGGCAGGTGTGGTTCTGCTGTAATCAACACGGTTCCCTACGGAGCCTGGACCTCCCTACCACTGCTGGCCACTCGTGTTGACTGACTGCCACTTCCCACCATGTGAAGAGCACTGGGAGGGACACACATGTGCTAATATGTCTGTCTTTGGTCCACGAGGCATTTATGCTGGTGTGAAGTAGGGATCAGGAAGTCTGATGAAGGGGACCCTTTGTAAAATCTGGAATTCTGTAGACCTGGACCCTGTGAAGATGCTGTAGCCAGAGGCAAAGTCGCGCTGTGTATTTAAGAGGTGCGTTTGGGGGACTGGAACGAACGCCTCTGGTCTTCCCTGTGGCCGCATCCTTTGCTCCTGAACCTCCCCTCGGGCAAGTGTGTGTGTGGGGGGCCCTGGTTGGAAGCTGCAAGACGATCCCACAGTGGGCACCCCAAGTGTCCCACAAACTGTTCTTCCAGGGTTGCGTGGTTTCATGGAGTGGAAGGAGGATAACAGAAAGCTCCCTGTGGCCCTGAGAATGTGCTCAGATGGGGCCCTGCATCCTGGACCCAGGGTGCCTCCAGCCTTGGCCTTGGGCATGCTGGGGCTGTGGAGGGGGCGGAGCAGGAGGGAGGAGTGGCCAGGTGGGGGCAGGGAAGCCACAAGCACAAGAGGTCTTGAGAGGGACCAGAAGTGTGTGTCTATGTGCCTGTGCATGTACAAGTGTGCATGGAGACGCTGGTACCTTGGAGCCATGCCTGGCCAAAACCTCCCATTCACCGCTGGTCAGCGCGATCTCCTCCTTGACAGGGCACTTAAATTCATCTGGAAATAAGGAGAGGAAAAGAGGTGAAGGGGCCCCAGGAAGCTGTGATGGGGACACAAAGCACTGAGACCCCCCTGCACCACAGCAGACTTGCACTGTCCAGACCGGCCCCCACCAACTTGGCAAATGCCAGTCTACAGCCTCTGCATCCCAGGCCAGCCTTGCCCCTCAATTCTCCAGCCACCCCTGAGGCTTCCCGCTGAGGCACGGACGATGGCGCAGCTGGCTGGTCCCCATCTCACTCCAACCCATTCTGAGCCCTATTCCCTGCTCTTGCTCTTGAGTCTTCTTGGCTACCCAAATTCAAGCCCATGTTTCTCCTGGCCCAGAGGGCCCTGCCAAGCACGCCTGCTGGGCCTCTCCAGCAGGACTGTCCTCTGTGAAAGCAGGTGTCGCACGGACACATCAGTGCCAGCGCCACCACTGTCCTGCCGCTTGTGCATTCCAACAGGCTGCTGGCCTCACTCGACTGCACAGCACGCCTGGAGGCTGCCTTTAAAGAATTCATTCCTTCTGATTTAAAGTGAATGAGGCCACGCCTACTCATCTGTCCAACTGCCATCGAGCAGGTGGAAGACGTGTGACAAGAGTGTGAGATGGGGATGCAGCAGAGGCCCACACACAGGTGCATGGGAAACCAGGTGTGCCCAACTCAAAAGCAGGTTTCCTGAGAGGCACCTGCTTCGAGCTCCACTCTACCACCAGGTGAGAATCGAGCTCAGCTGGCCCATTTCAAGGAGGCGGAAATGAGGACTTTTCAAGTGACATTTCCCAAAGCCAGGTGGCGTCAGTAAGTCAACAGACAAGCCAAACAGCAGCAACACCAATGAGCCAAAGAAAACTCCCTGCAGATGGCTCAGCCGGCAAGTGGGGCCGCATCAAACCCCGAGTGGCAGTGCCCTGAGACAGCAGGCACTCCTCAGTCCCTGCCTTACCCAACTCCTCGGAGCGCGTGGCTTCGCCTCTTGACACTCAGGCCCCCCTCGGCTCCTGGCACCCTGAACACATCCTCACTTGGGTTTCTGTCCCTTGTGCAGGTGGCTGCTTGAGGCTCATTTGTGGGCTCTACCTCTAACCTGTAGGACAATCCTGGGGTGACTCGGCCCAAGGGGACACTGGCTAACACCTGGGAACATCTATGGTTATCACAACTGGGGAGTGGGTGGGGGTCAGGGATGCTGCTGAATTCCCCCCAGTGCCCAGGACGACCATACAGAGAATGATGCGGCTCTGAGGTCAGCAGTGCCCACAGGAGAGACCCTGCTCCAAGCTTGAGGAGCCGGCTTAACTCGCAGGCTCGGCCCTGTGGCACTCTGTCCTGTCCAGGGGCTGAGAGGCCATCCAGGCTGCTGGCGAGGATGGCCACACTCCCATCACAATACATTCTCTCCCCAGAACTCCGAGCACACGAACCTGCCCACACGGCATTCCCACTACTGAGCTCTTCACCGTGGATACGTGCAAAACCCACCTCTGGATTGTTTTCTCCTAAAACTGCCCCTTTCAGAGACTTCGCATCTCGGAATAGACCTGCGACGGAACAAATGGTGCCTGTGCCATCCTCTCTCTCTCAGGCTCCACATCCAAATCCACAGGCAAACCATGTCAGCTGGTGGTCAAAGTGCAGAGTGCAGCGAATCACCTGGGTCACCCCAGCCCCACCGCCTGACCCGTTCCTGTCCCTCTCCTCACCCCTCGGGCTACGTTCCACACAGGAACCTCAGGAATCATTTTAAAGTGGTGGAAGGCCAATGTAAAAGCCCAAGTTCCCTCCGAAACTCACAAGGCCCTACACGACCTGCCCCATCCCCTCTGCCCTCACCTGCTCCCGCTCTCCCCTCACTCTGCTCGTCACACAGGCTTCCTTGCTGTTCCCTTAACATGCAGACATGGTCCTGCCCCAGGACCTTTGCATGGGCTGCTCGTGAGGCCTAGAGCTCCGTGTAGCTGCCTCCGCCATTTTTACCACATCCTCCAGGTCCCTGCTCCATGACACATTATCCAGAGACGTTCTCCTAACCACGAGTTCTAGAAAGAAAGCCCCTCATGCTCATCACTCCCGGGACAGCATCTTTCATAGTTTTTGGATTACTACTCAAAAACAGCCACAGAGAACATATAAGTGACTGGGCGTGACCATGTGTTACAGAAACAGGCAGATGGTCTGGGACTGACTTGCAGCTATACTATAGGCAGTGATGGCGAACCTATGACACGCGTCAGAGGTGACACGCGAACTCATTTTTTTGGTTAATTTTTTTTTTGTTAAATGGCATTTAAATATATAAAATAAATATCAAAAATATAAGTCTTCGTTTTACTATGGTTGCAAATATCAAAAAGTTTCTATATGTGACACGGCACCAGAGTTAAGTTAGGGTTTTTCAAAATGCTGACACGCCGAGCTCAAAAGGTTCGCCGTCACTGAGCTATAGTTTGCCGACCCCTGGTGTAAGACGGGCCTGGCACCTGGCAGGTGCTCAGTAACTCCTGTTGACTGACTGAATGAATAGGCAGCTATGGTAACCCCTGCCAGGTGTGAATGACTTCTTTCCTGTGGGCGGCTGAGTCAGAGGGTGGGATCAGTGAACAAACAGCACATGGAACCTCAGACGGCAGTTGGATGAGCAATGGTGTTAGTCAGGCTGTGCTCACCTTCCCCGGGGCTGAAGGGCTCGCTCCAGTCGTAGCCATTAGGCTGTAACACGGTGGTGACCTTGTACAAGTGGCAGAAGCCGGTCTTGCTTTCGTTGGCGCGGATGAAGCAGAGCTCGTCCTCACCCTCTGATTGGGGGAAGGGATAGAAGATGTCATGAACCTGTCCGGGCAGAAGAGGGAAGACACGTCAGGTAAGGCACACCCTGCTCAGGAAGGGGAGGCCAAACCCAGCCCCCGTGGATTCTCCCTCCCTGGCCAGGGGCAGGCCTGCCTGAGCTCACTTCCCCACCCTTACATTGATCCACACGTTGGTGATCTCCTCGTACACCACGTACGGCTGGACGTTACTGGGCACGGCTCTGGCGAAGGCCTCCCGCTGCTCCTCATCCTCGGTGATGGGGATGAACAGGGCTGGGGGCAGGAGGACGAGCTGGAGCTGCTGCTGGGGCCGATCCAGGAGCATGGCCCAGGCGCTGAGAGGGCGAAAGAGAAGCCAGAGGCCTCAGGGCCAGCAGCCGGAAACTGGTGACTAAAGCCCCCTTTTGTCAACTTCACCGATACCTGACCAAGTAAGCCCATGACACACAGTTTCCTGGCTGGAATGCATGCTCAGGGGGCTGACAGAACTCCACAACCTGACTTCTGGAAACGGCTGACGTCATGAAATCATAGAGCAGTTTTGAGAAAGCCACAATTTCAGCCAAATCCTCACCATCCTTGATTTCATACTTTGCTGTAACTTGACAATTTTTAACTTAAATGTATTTTAAATGGGGACCTATCAGTATTGTAAGTAGAAAAGGAGCATCTCAAAATAAACAGGCAGCAACTAAAACCAAATTAAAGTGCAATTTCAGCCCAGCCGGCATAGCTCAGTGGTTGAACCAGGAGGTCACAGTTTGATTCCTGGTCAGGGCACATGCCTAAGTTGTAGGCTTGATCCCTTATGTGGGGCATGTAGGAGGCAGCTGATCAATGATTCTTTTTCATCATTGATGTTTCTATCTCTCTTTCCCTCTCCCTTCCTCTCTGAAATCAATAAAATAAAAAAATTAAACACACACACACACACACATAAATATAAAGAGCAACATCATAGGGATGGGAGGTTCCAGCGAGAGCCCATGGCCTGAGTCTCGCTGTTTCTGTTACAAAGGGAGTCTGGCAAGTGTTTGGAGCAGGGGATGCACACCCTTTCTGTAAAGGGGCCAGCGAGTCAGTATTTCAATTCTGTGGGCCACAAGTGTCCTTCACAACTACTCAACCCTGCCCTTGTAATGTGAAAGCAACCACAGACAAGCTGTAGATGAATGGGTGTGGCCCTGTGCCAATAAAACTTTATTTACACACACTAAATTGTGGGTTTGATATCACTTTCATGTATGATAAATTATTATTCTTTAGGTCCCCCAACCCCCAAATCATTTAAAATCATAAAAACCATTCTTGGCTCTTGGGCCTCACAAAAAAAGATGGGTGGAGAGGATTGAGCCTCCGGGCCATGCTTCTGGACCCGTTAGAGATGTTTGTCTCTGATGTGAGCAGAAGGGCTAGAAAGTGAGTGAAACGGGACTCCTTCTATTTGGTGACTCCATGATTCTTACGATAGGGGTGGAGCTGGGGGGTAGAGAGGAGTGGCCCACCCAGGTCCTGAATATAAGTGACTTAGATGCTGTCAGACAGACTCACTATTTGCCGTCTCGGGTCCACCCGGCCCGGGCAATGTATTCCGCCTTGGGGAAGAGCATGCTGAAGGGCTGCACCAGCTCCTTCTCTTGGGTAGAGACGATCTAAAGGGAAAACAGACTCGGGTCACATTACATGCTACCCAGGAGTAGACAGTCACTGTTAGGGGCACACTGTGTCCCCCCTCAAATCCACATGTTGAAGTCCTCACCCCTAGTACCTCAGAATGGGGCCTTATTTGGAAATAAAGTGGCTACAGATGTAATTAGGTAAGATGGGGTCATACAGGTAGGGTGGCCCCAATCCAACAGGACTCGTGTTGGAAGTGTGGACACAGGTGTCACATGGGTAGAGTGTCTTGTGATGAGACACAAGGAGAAGGCGACCGTCTACAAGGCAAGGAGAGAGGCCTGAAACAGGTCCTTTCTCATGGCCTCAGGAGAAACCAGCCCTGTCGACACCCTGATTTCAGACTTTTAGCCTCCATAACTGTGAGACAATAAACTGTTGTTTAAGCTGCCCAGTCTGGGGGACTTTATTATGATAGCCCATTGGCTGGAAACCCAGGGTTCCGGTGTGGATTGTCACTGCAAAGTCAGGTGGCCTTGGGCAACATAGTCTTTGGATGCCACAGTTTCCTGGAGCCTAAATGGGGCTGGCATGGCATTTCCCCAGGAGGAAAAGGCAGGCGGGGCCTCAGCATGCCCCACACCCCAGCGGGCACCCCCCTAACATCCCCAACTGCCTGTTCAGTTGGTATAACCCATACCACTGCAGGACCCTGTTTGTCTGGCAGAGCCAGGGACTGTTTAAAACAAAGCCACTTAGAGCTGATCTGTGTTAAATCTGCACGAATACTCTGGTCAAGAGTGGAGAAGGGGTCTGGTTAGGGCCGAATTTTGCCCAGAACAAAAACTGACTCCTCAATTACAAAAGTCAGTGTAGTTTATCATACGCTTCCTTCTGAAACATTACACAAGAATGCATTTTGGCAAAAATATGCAAGGGCTTTCTCAGCTTGTCTGAACTCTGACCTGACGTCCCCGTCCCCACGGCCCTTCTGTCACAGCCGCTCTGGCCCTCCTGACTAGGGAGGCCTGAGCAACAACTCCCTAAGTGACGAGGACCTCTTGTCATTTCAGAGTGAGGTGCAGAGTGACGGGGGCAGCAGGGCCCAGCCTGGCAGCAGAGCTCTGGATGGTGTTTTGCATTCAGTTGGCCAAGAGGAGCACCTGCCGTGGGAAGGGAGTGAGCAGACTGCTGATGCTGCCCAACTACCTACCCCGTTCAAAACACATACCCTGACCCCTCTTCTCACCCAGAAGCTTCTCGGGGCTCTCTGGCCCTCTTACCTTGCCTTGACTGTCAGTTTGAAACTCAGCCAGCTTCAAGGCGATCTTTGGATTCTTGCTACCTGCAGAAATGAAAGTGAGGTGAGTCTGGCAGGTGTCGCCCATGTGGGGTGAGAGCAGGTGTTGGGGCGGAGGGTGCAGGGGACACAGAAAGGTGACACAGTGGGCATGGGGGGAGGGGGAGGAAGGGTGTCCAAAGGTCTCTCCATGGGCAGGTCTCCCTCTCTGGTCCAGGCACAAAATCCCTGAGCAGGACTTTCTGACTGAGCCAGGACCTCATTCCAGACAGAGTGATGTACAACCTCTAGCTGATGGGGAGGTCATGGTGGAACATACACGAGGAAGACACCTGCTGCCTTTGGAGAGCTTGAAATCTGGCCTCCGTGCTCTCATCTGTCAACTGGGGAGGGAGCAGACTGACTTTTCCCATTTGCATTGGGGACTGAAAATATCCTCTAGGGCAGTGGTCAGCAAACTCATTAGTCAACAGAGCCAAATATCAACAGTACGACGATTGAAATTTCTTTTGAGAGCCAAATTTTTTAAACTATATAGGTTGGTACATTGTTATTAACTTAATTAGGGTACTCCTAAGGCTTAGGAAGAGCCACACTCAAGGGGCCAAAGAGCCGCATGTGGCTCGAGAGCCGCAGTTTGCCAACCACGGCTCTAGGAGGCTCTGCCAGCATGGTGAACAGGAGGTGCTGCTCACTGCAGGTCAGCGAGAACAACTCTTTTATTTGCCTCCATGGAGGCGGCAAACAAGAGGCCTGCAGGCTGAACCTGAACCTGGCCCGCCACATATTTCGTTTGGCTTACCAGGTATTTTTATTATTATCTTTTTAAAATATATTTTTATTAATTTTGAGAGGAAGGGAAAGTGACAGAGAGATAGAAACATCAATGATGAGAGAGAGTCATTGATTGGCTGCCTCCTGCACACCCCTCACTAGGGATCAAGCCTGCAACCCAAGCATATGCCCTGACTGGGAATTAAACTGTGACTTCCTGGCTCATAGGTTGATGCTCAACCACTGAGCCACACCCGGCCGGGCTTTCTAAGTGTTTTTAAGTAATTCGAGCAACATTTAAGAATGGGGGGTTTTTCTGCCCAGTCAGTGCTGCTCAATGGTTGAGCATCGACTTATGAATCAGGAGGTCATGGTTTGATTCCTGGTCAGGGTACAAGCCCAGGTTTCGGGCTCAGTTCTCAGGTGTGCAGGAGGCAGCTGATGGATGATTTTCTCTCATCATTGATGTTTCTCTCTCTCTTTCCCTCTCCCTTCTTCTCTTTGAAATCAGTAAAAATATATTTTAAAAAAGAATTGGGTAATTTCTCAAATGAGTCTGGATTTACAGTTTCTCTTGAGAAACAGGCAAACTCGAGTCTGTACCCTCACAGGTGGTGAATGTCTGATGCGTCCTAGGTTGGGGCCCACACCCCGTCACAATCTCCCTGAGCTCCTTCTGTCTCCGGGGCCCCGAAGCGGTGCTGGCCCTGCTGTTGTTCCGAGCCCGGCCTGCTCCTGAGTCCTGTGGGCCCATCCTAGTTGGAGCCTCACTTTGCTCTATGAGGACTCAGACCACTGCCCAGCCATCCCCACCTGTCCCGGGCACTCACCTGTCCGGGGGTACCGGTACGAGTCTGTCTTCCTTTCTTCTAGTGCAGGAGAGGGCACGTGAATGACCTCCACCTCCGACTCGTCGACCTCCTCGTACAGGATTCGCAGTGTCTTGTGGCCTTCCGAACCTGGGAGGAGGCAGGGACACCACTGAGGGTGCCAGGAGGCCACCCATCCCGTGCACACGAGGGACTCGCTGTGCCACAGCTGGGCCCAGGCAAGAGCATGAGCCTTTGGGCTGGAACCCGGAGCTGCCCTTTACTAGACCTTCAGCCAGTCACACCTCCTCCTGGGGCCTAGTTCCCCTACCTGCACAGTGGGGTCGAGGACTGAGCTATTCCCAGCACAAAACAGTGTGGGAACTGGCTATGGAGGGGGTTTGTGTGCTGAATTGTGTATGTTCCTGTCAAGTCCCTATGTTGAAGCCCTAATGCCAGGACCTCGTAATGTGACTGTATGTGGAGATGGGGTCTTTAAAGAGGTGGTTAAGGTAAAATGAGGTCATTAGGTTGGGCCCTAATCCAATATGACTGGTGTCCTTAAAGGAAGAGATTAGGAAACAGACACACACAGAGGGAAGACCTGTGAGGAGACAGGGAGAACAGCCAAGGAGAGGGGCCAAGGTGCTGACACCTTGACCTCGGACTTGCGGACTCCAGCACTGAGAGACAACAAGTGTCTGTCGGGTAGGCCCTCAGTCTGGGAGCAGGTTCAGCAACCCAAGTTAATTAACACATGTCTCCAGAAGAAGAATTAAAATAAAGATCATTGTGAGAATAAGCAGATCACTGGGTGGTAACAGCTGAGAGAGAAGTGGGGTGACTGGCCAAGCTGACATCACAGGGACAGAGCCGTGGCCGCGCCTTCCTCAGCAGGCCCTTTCCTTCCTTAGCCACTGAGAAGGTTCTCCTGCTGCTTCCTGTTTCTGCCCTAAGACTCACTGTGGACAGACCAAAGATGTCTCCGGAAGCACCCGCCTGCTCCGCACCTGCTTTAGGGCGGAGCCCTGGATGCCTAAGGGGCTGAGTGGCTGGCTCGAGGCCATGTGGCTTGGGAGTGGCAGCACTGTGCTTCCTCCTCAGCTGTGACAAACAGGAGTCTCCCGACATTGTGCAATGTCCCCTAAAGGCAGGTTCACCCCAGCTGAGAATGACTGATACACGCCCAGAAGATCACCCACCAGGATCGGTGTATAAAGGTATTCAAAGGAGTATTGATTATGACACCAAAATAAAACCAAAACCCACAACTAGAAACAACCAAAGAACTAGCTCAATAAACCATGGCACAGTCACACTCCAAAGAGTCCTTTGTGTGCTGACTGCAAGGGATCGTGTCCCCCCCAAATTCAAATGTTAAAGCCTATCCCCGATATAATGGCATTACATGATGGGGCCTTTGGGAGGTGATTAGGTCATAAGGACGGAGCCCCCATGGGAGGGGTAAGTGTCCTTATAAAAGAGACCCCAGGACATGAGGACACAGCAAGAAGGTGCCATCTATGAACCAGGAGGAGGTTCTCACCAGACACTGAATCTTCTGGTGCCTTCATTGTGAACTCCCAGCCTTGAGAACCATGAGATGTAAGTGCTGTTTATAAGCCCCCCAAACTGTGGTGTGGTTATAGCAGCCCAAACGGACCGAGACACTGATATCAACAGAAAGACTGCTGAGGTTTCTTTAAAGTGACAAGTGCAAAGAGCAGAAAAGCACACAGTCTATTAATAAAAGAAGTGTACACAGAGCATTTTTGTTGTTAATCCTCAACCAAGAATATTTTTTCCATATTGAAGGGAGGGAGGGGGAGAAAGGAGAGAGAGAAAGAGAAACATCGATTGGAGAGAGCCACATCGACTAGTTGCCTCTAACACCCGCCCCGGGCCAGGGATCCAACCTGCAACCCAGATACATCCCCTTGACCAGGAATTGAACCCCAACTCTTCAGTGCACGGGCCAATGCTCAAACCACTTAACCACTGCCAGGACCATAGAAGCATTTTTTAAAAATGGAAAGGGACCTACCTTCCCAGGAGGCTGTGGGACACCACCAGTAGCCAGTGAAGCGGTCGAATTCTTCCTGGATGACGAAGGTGGCCACGCCCGCAGATTTGGGGTCCTCGAGAACGTTGGATAAGCCTGGAGGAGGAGAAAGCAGGACAAGAGGTGAGGAGTCTTATTTAAAGCAGGTTCCTCCCCCTCGGCACTGCTAACATTGAGGTCAGCACATTCTGTGGGGGGCTGTCCTGAGCACTATGGGGTGTTGAGTAGCATCTCTGAACTCCCACCCACTCGATCCCAGGACATCCCCACCCAGCTATGCCAACTAAAAGTGTCCCTGGAGCCCTGACCGGTTTGGCTCAGTGGATAGAACGGTAGCCTGCGGACTGAAAGGTCCCAGGCTTGATTCCAGTCAAGGGCATGTACCTTGGTTGCGGGCACATCCCCAGTAGGGGGTGTGCAGGAGGCAGCCTATCGATGTTTCTCTCTCATCAATGTTTCTAACTCTCTATCCCTCTCCCTTCCTCTCTGTAAAAAAATCAATAAAATATATTTATTAAAAAAAAAGTGTCCCTGGACATGGCCAGTGTCTGAGTTGCCCCCGGCTGAGCTGCTCAGGCTGAGCTGCTCAGGTTTAGAGCGAGGGCACCAGGGCTGTGGGGCAGGACAGGGGGGCAAGTCTGAGGCCACGCCAGGTGCAGAGTTCCAAAAACATCTTTAGAAGGGGAAGGTCACTTTCCAGCGAGGAGGGGCATGAGGGAAAACTCGGGGAGCAGGTGAGATCTGAGCTTGAACCATGGAGTCAGAAAGGAGAGCAGAGGTGGGAGGGGCCGAGTGAGCGGAGGTGCAGAATAAGTGTCTGGTGGAGGGAGGCCAAGAGGGCCACACAGGAGGGTGGCTTGTGAGAGCCAGGCTCAGGAAGGTGCCTGGGGTCAGGGAGAGTGGAGTGGGGACAGGGTATTTTCTAGAAGCTGGACTGGTAGCTTTGATGACTATGCCTGGAAAGTGCTGGCCTGGGCCTGGCCCAACAGACCACACCCTTGGGTGCAGGTTCCTGTCCACCCTGGCCAGGACTGACGCCTCTGCCCGCTTTACCCCTGTGGCAGAAAGTCAGCCGCTGCTCTTCGCCGGTCTCAATGTTGGCCACCCACAGGTCACTGTTGTTGATGAAGGAAAAGAAGGCGGGGTCGGCAGGGCAGATCTTGGGGTCCATCCGAGGCCCAGAACACTGGGTTTTGATTTCCAATGGCTTCATGGGGGACACCTGGGGACAGAGAGGCCTGGCTCAGGGGGGGCAGGATGCCGCCCACCTGCCCACCCCACTGCAGGGAGGGACCGGCACTTACCATGAAGCCATTCTTGCCCCCGTCCCGACAGTGGAAGAGGCTGTTGCTGGCCTGGAAGAGGAAGAGGCCGCTCTCGCTGTGGAAGTCATAGGAGGTGATGCCAAAGACGCCCAGGCGCTTCCGCTCCCGCAGCAGCTCCTCCTCGCGAGAGTAGACCCCGTGGTGGGGCGTGGCCTGGCGACACACAGGAGACAGATGCCAGTGTCAGCAGCCAGAGGCCCTGGCACCTGGGCATTACCGGGAGGGACCTATTTGACCTGGGTCCACGCCAGGGAGAACCTTCTGATGAGCAGCGCTACACGGAGCGGAACGGGTGGCAGGTCCTTTTCAGGTCTTACATGGAGCTCCTCCCCTCGTGCCCGCCTCTGGGATTCCCTGTGCCCCTTTCCCCTGGAACCTCCAAGGCAGACAGCACTGTCTTCTGCCCCACAGCATGGAGACACTGCTGGACTGCTCTTCCCTGGTCCCCAAAGCCAACCCCTCAGACGCCTCCATCCTCTTCACCCCCTCTTCCTGCCAAAAGCATTTGATTTGAACCCACCTAACACCAGTCATACTTTCTGCACAGGTGGGGGGCAGGGCAAATTCCAGACCACCTGATCCCCACACACCCAACCCTGGCGGGTCTGCGCAGCTAAAATACTGTGGGCAAGGAGCATTCTGAAGATGACATGGAGATGTAGAGGAACATTAATGATAAGAAACGCATTTAAGCCAAAACCGGTTTGGCTCAGTGGATGGAGCGTCGGTCTGCGGTCTGAAGGGTCCCAGGTTCGATTCCAGTCAAGGGCATGTACCTTGGTTGCAGGCACATCCCCAGTAGGAGATGTGCAGGAGGCAGCTGATCGATGTTTCTCTCTCATCGATGTTTCTAACTCTCTATCTCTCTCCCTTCCTCTCTGTAAAAAAATCAATAAAATATATTTTTAAAAAAAGAAAAAAAGAAACGCATTTAAAAAAAAGCAGAACCCAAGCCCCGTAGAGCATCAGCCTGTGCACTGAAGGGACTCAGATTCGATTTCAGTCAAGGGCACATGCCCAGGTTGCAGGCTCGATCCCCAGTAGGGGGTGTGCAGGAGGCAGCCAATCAATGATTCTCTCATCATTGATGTTTCTAGCTCTCCCTCTTCCTTCCTCTTAAATAAATAAAATAAAAAAGCAGAACCCAAAGCAAAATTACCCCCACGCTGAGACAAAAGCTATGTGACCACAGCTCCTTGGCTTGGGGACTGAATGGGGCAGGCAGAAGGGAGAGCTGCTGCGTGGCACGGAGAAACTCAGAGTGTGTCACCCCCACACCCTACTGTCAAATCCTTTTACAGAACTACACCAACCAATGAAAAGGCGCTCTGGTTCTTCACCCGCCATCCTTCCCCCTGGAACCGAGTCAACTCTGGATGACATTAATTATTAGCCAAGTCTCCATAAAAAGGCCTGGGCCCAAGTCAGTTCAAGTCTTTGGTGAGGCATTTAAAAGGAAGAGATGCTGCCCTGACCGGTTTGGCTCCGTGGATAGAGCGTCAGCCTGCAGACTCAGGGGTCCCAGGTTCGATTCCGGTCAAGGGCATGTACCTTGGTTGTGGGCACATCCCCAGTAGGAGGTGTGCAAGAGGCAGCTGATCGATGTTTCTCTCTCATCGATGTTTCTAACTTTCTATCCCTCTCCCTTCCTCTCTGTAAAAAATCAATAAAATATATTAAAAAAAAAAAGGAAGAGATGCTTTGATAAACACTCTTATCAGAAGCCTAGACTCTGGGGCTGAGCACAGGCTGGCGGAGAGGGGAGAAGGGATGGGGAGAGGGAAGAGGGGAAGACGGGAAGAGGGGAAGGGGGGGAGGGGGAAAAAGAAAGGGGGAAGAGGAAGGGGGGAGAGGGGAGGGCTGCTGTGAGCCGGAAGCTCTGCTCTCAGTGTGCATGAACGTGTGGCTGGCCTGGGCCCCTCAGGAGTTGAGGACCCATGGAAATGGTGTCCACTTTGAGGACCTGGCTACCTCCCTCGCCCACAGGCAGGACCTGACAGGTGCACTCACCTGGAAATGGTCCAGCATCTGCTTCCAAGACAGGAGCAGCAAAGCCTCTTTCCGGACCTTCCTGGGGATCTCAGAGTAGAGGAGGGAGTTCTCTCGGCTGCCGTAAGGCATCCCTGGGGGGAAGAGGAGAAAAACAGAATGGGTGACTTGGCCCAGGACAGGGCCGGGCCAGCCTCAGGCTCTCCGTGCCTGGGCCCAGCTGGTTCCTTCTGCTTCTATGCCATCTTGCCAGCACAACCTGGCTGCACACCCCTCCCCAGAGAAGCTACGAACCCAGGTTTAAGCATGTCAGCAGTAGTACCGGACCCTCCACGGCTGAGATGTGTGTGCTGAATTGTTTGGACTAAATTACTGAAGAAACAGCACACAAACACAATAGAACAGAAAAGGGTGGTCAGGGCTAGCCAGCTCTCCACAGGCGAGGCTCCGGTCAATTCCTTTTTAGTAAAAGCTTTTGCAAAGGCCAGGGATTGTTCTAGGGTTAGAGCAAGTGTGTGTCTGGTCAAGCATCTCTTCCCTTGGCACTGGTGACGCTGGGACACTCTCTGTGGGGGACGTCCTGGGCACTGTGGCACGTGGAGCAGCATCCCTGGCCCCACCCACTCCATGCCAGGAGCACCCCTAGTCTCGATGACTGTAGACGTCCCCAGATGTTGCCCAGTGTCCCCTGGAGGGCAGAACCTCCCTGACAGAACCACTGACCTAACCTTATCTGTAACATGATAGCAGCTGCCCAGTGAGGATTCTGTGTGGATTCAATGAGATAAGAAATATAATGCACTTAGCAAAGGCCTGGGATATGTCACTCAGAGGTATCAACCTAATTCCAGTAAGTTGTAATTTTTCACATTCTTAGATCTCTGATGTTGAGATGTATCTTATTGTTGAAGTGCTGTCCTATTCTTAGTGGCAAATAAAATAATGGCAGATATTCCAACCGGTAGTGTCTTTCCTTTGGATGGATGACAATACAATTGCTGTTAATAAAGTTAACAGCAGAGCCCTGGCCAGTAGCTCAGTGGTTAGAGTGCTGCCCGTGCACCGAAGAGTCAGAAGTTTGATTCCCAGTCAAGGGCACACCCTTGGGTTGCAGGTTCGATCTCTGGGTCCCCACTGGGGTGTGGGTGGGAGGCAACCAATTGATGTTATGTCTCTCACATCAATGTTTCTTTCTCCCCTCTCCCCCCTCTCCTCTCTCTCCCCTTCCCTCCCTTCCTCTCTTCCACTCTCTTTAAAAATCAATGGGAAAAATATCATTGGGTGAGGATTAACCAAAATAATAAAAATAACTGTTCTGTTTACAGTTATCTTTATAGGTAGCTTCTCGATATGGTGAGTGACATGGGTTTTCCACTTATGATAAAGTGCTCACGAAGTACAGTTAGCAAAATAAAAGCATATTTACAGAGAATCATTAGGTTAATTAGGGTTCCTTTAAAAGTAGACTTAAGGAAAATATAAAGCTAACTCAGATGTGCAGGTGGGCAGCGCTCACAGTTCGATGCCTAAGGACCCTTTAAGCTGCTTCCATTGGTTTCCGTCCCAGCTGCAGGCGCAGACATGACACTGCCTGGCCACGCTACCCACAGCACACGCTCTGGACAACCTCTGTCTGCAGAGCTCTGAGGGACAGCTTTCCAAACGGGAAGTCA